CACCGCCTCCCTGCTCCGTCTCTGCTGTCATTACACATCTGAAAACACACACACACACACACGTTATCATTTTCTCTCCTCCGACTGTCTCCTGGCTGTGATCATCTCTGCTCCTCATTGTTTAACTGTCACGTTTCACATGATCTCATGACAAATACTCGATGTGATAACTGTCACGAGACGCCTCAGGTTTCCTTGTACGTACGTCGTAGTACTCAACACCTACCATCAAAACTGATTGAGTTTTTCAAAACTTCAAAGTCTCTTCACTTCTTTTCCAACCCTGTAGGGGGTGCTGTGGACACAGATACAACACACAAATCCATGACACGTGCTCCGGGTGAGTGTGGTTCGTGCTGTTGACTTAGATCAGTGGTTCTCAATTATTTTCTCTCATGCACCCCTGTAAATTCAAAAATGTTTTCACGCCCCCTCCCCTGACCCACACCCTTGTAAATTAAAATACTATTGAAAACCTGATAGCAGGTGTATTATTATCTGTACAAACCACTGTGTGAGTTGCTGCCACCTAGTGACTGGAGGCTTGTTATCATTCAAGCATTACAGCAGTGGGACACTTATGTCCCCGGCTACTCACCGCAACCCCCCAGGGGGCCCCCGCCCCACTATTTGAGAAGTAATGCCGTAGAGCATTTAGATCATGAAAGTGACTGTTATTTTATCAATGACTGGACATTTTTTTCTACAACTTTAATCACCGTTTACTTTAATTACTGAGTTGTTTTTTTGTTGTTGTTGTTGTTTTGTTTTTGTAAAGCGTTCACTCTTCATTCCCAAAGTCCACAGAGAAAACCCTCGATGTCACACTGCCACCCACATGTTGAAAACCAGCCGCTGCCTCTGAGTAAATTCAACAACAGTTATTTTGCATATTCAGCGTCTGAATATGCAAAATTCTTTTTTAATTGGCAACAATTCCAGACAGCAGTAAATGAGAGGATCTGTGTCCACATGAGCTAAAAACGCTGATTTTCTCAATGGACTTTGGTGCAGGAGAGTCAGTAATTGACAAAGACCAATTTGGCAAACACAATTAGGAGAGAAAAACAAATATTTTTAGGATATTGTAAATTGTAGATTCTATGAGAAATGAGCTCCTGGTTGACTCGCCTGAAGTTGTTTTTTCTTCTCCTTTAATTTATTAGTTTTTAATTAATTCCGCTCAGTGTTCCGACTCTGGTTTCAGCTTCAGGGAAAATGATCCTGAAAATATAAAACAAACAGAAGGAAAGTCTGGTTTGAATCTATTGTTTTTGAAAGAAAGACTTTTGGTGGAGTGCAGTGACAAAGCCATGCAATTATGAGAGGTGTTAATGAGGAGTGTATGACATCACATCTCACACACACACACACACACACACACACACACACAGGGTCCTCAGAGAGCTGCCTGCCTTCATACCTCATCTCCACTTTCTGCCCCAATTAACTCTCAATAATTAATTTGTCATGTTCCACCTTGATGCTTATGCAAGATGCATGCACCGTGAGGCCTGTGCTTCAATCTAGTGTCAGCATTCGAAACACACACACATACACACACACACACACACACACTGAGAGAATAATCAGCCACTACATTTCTACACACACTCCACCTCAGCATCCATGACCTTTGAAGGCAGGTGAATGACAGCTACAGCTGAGCTCATGGAACTCACCATAACCACCCGTCCCCGGTGTGTGTCTGTGAGTGTGAGTGAGTCCTCTCATGCCGAGGCCGGGGCTCAGGAATCCAGGTAACGACGGTCCGGGGTCGCTGCAGAAGCTGTCAGCTGGGAAAGCTTCAAGGAGAGACACAGAGAAATTCAAGGACTTCTCCGAATCAGCGCAGAGATGCCGGGAAACTTTTTAATGGCAAACTTACTCTGTGCGAGACCTTTTCATTCCCACATGACGAACTAATTTCCCCTTTGAGTATCAATAAATAATCAGAGCAGGGCAGGCACAGAATCCAGCTCATATTATAGCAGCCCGTCTCCTTAATCAGGTCTCTCTCTGAGCCGGACCGTGCATGTGTTAAGGCAACAGGATCGTGACGGGAAAGCAAACAGTCAGAGCAACTTTAAAAACCCTGCAGACATACATTACATGTATTTGTGTGAATATGTACTGATAGATAACTCCACAGTGATTCCACCATGTATATATTTATATATTAGGGATGTCCAATAATATATATATATGTATATTATACATATATACATATATGTATATACCAATATACATATATGTATATATGTATAATATACATATATATATTATTGGACATCCCTAATATATAAATATTATACATATATACATATCTGTAGTATATATGTATAATATACATATATACGTATAGCCTCTCATTGTTGACTGTCATCAGTCTATCATGTGGTTCAAGCCAGAAATCTTTTTAAAAAATATTTAAAGCCCGCTGCCACACACGCTAATGTAATGAAACAACCATTGTTTCCTCTAAAATGACAGCAGAACCACACATAATAGTGTGACTGTTGCTAGCTTACTTGCTAACAGCCACCACATTAACCAGAATTGGTCTATTAGCCACTCAGCAGCGTGAAAAAGGAGAGTTGTCCAACTTAGGAACTTAGTTGTTAACAGCTAACAGCTAACAGCTAACAGCAGCCTAATTTAAATGAGTATCTGTATCTACTAAGTACATAAAAAATACTGTGGTGCCTATTATTTAAGGCCAACTTTTACATGAATCAGATTTGGAGAGAGAAGAGCTAACTTTGTACTTAATATGCTTCATGTATTATTCATGACAGTGTAGACTGGCTGCTGCCTTTTCATTCTGATGGAAAACAATGTAGAGATACTGCAATAACAGCAACACGTCTCTGCAAGAAAAAAAAAGACACATTTAAAAGAAAAAAGAAAAATCAACAGCGGCCTACTTCAGAGGCCGTTTACTGGATGAAAACAATTTTATGTTTGAGCTTCTTCAGCTTTGGAGATAACAGGGGAAAAAACATCGCCTGCTGAAGCGTCAGGATTAGATGGTGTGCATTATTGAAACCAGGAAAAGGGGTTTTAAGGAAGATAACAGCTTTAAGGGTGATAATGAGATCAGTCAGGAGAGAAGAGAGAGGGATTTTGTTTTTGTGAAGAGAAAACACTGAAATTTGGCTTCAGTTGCACTCAGGCAGTAAACTGCGCTAACTGGGGGCTGCGGGCTCTCAGAGACAACTGCAGGGGTTTCTCAATGAGTCTCAGAACAAACAAATGGGAGTCTTATTGATCTCCGGTATATCTTATGAACTCACAGCAGGCTTCCTCAGCAGGTGTGTTGAGAAAAGCCGCACGAGGAGCAGTTGTTTACATAGGAGACGCACTGCACGAAAGAAAAAAAACAATCCTCCAAGAGATACGATATAAAAATAAACAGTCAAAAATAGAGACACATCAAATGGCTTTTAACCAGTCAGAGTTAGAGTTCTGCCAGTGATACCTCAACTGTCTCAGGAAAAAGCTTGTACTGAAATGTGTCTCAAGAAAAAGCTTGTACTGAAATGTGGCCATTTAAATGAGCTGCACTTCACCCAGAAGACCAATAGGGGGCACTGTGTTGGAAAGCTGTTGTACAGTTCAGTAGGCTAACACAACAGAAAATGTGAAACACTTGCATCGTCTGCTGGTGGGAAGTGAAGATTTGGCTCTGAAATGCTAAAAGAGCTAATTTAGCGTAGCAATGTCAGAAGCAATGCTAGGACAAGAATAACTACATAGATAGATGTTGTAAATGTATCACAACAATATATTTTTGCATCCTTTTTCTATTTTGCTGTCTGAAAATAGAAGAAATCAATGTTCAGACTCAGGAAAGACGGTAAGAAAGTCAATAGCCCCGTTGCCTCCTGGGAAATGTAGGCGCGGGATATGGATTAGAAGCACTGTGACATCAATAATTGGTGTTATTACAGGAGCCTGTTGCGGCCGTTATTGAGGCAATTTGTCGGACAGATTTAAGTCATGACTCAGACATTAACGGAGACGAGCGTGGAGCGAGGGCACAGCTGGGAGCTGTGACTCAGCCTGACCTCGTCTCCACGCCGCTCTGACTCATTCATTATGGCAGTAGCTGCAGGGAGGAAAGGTGAGATGACAAACTGAGAGGCATGAGTGTCTGACATTTGCTTTTTGTTAAGTCACCGGGAGTTCACTCGAGGTGTTAACCTTATCGCACAAACACACGAGTGTGTGTATGCGTGGTGTGTGTGTGTGTGTGTGAGCCAGGATTGGATAATAAATATGCTGTAGTATTGTAATGCAAAATTTGACAACAATTCTTGTGACTTGTTACACTGTTATAAACTGCTGACATTTCCAGACGTAAAGTCTTTTGATTTTTACCAGGTCTTTGGTTGATGCATCCAAACTAACCAGGTACCAGTTACTTGCTGCGTCGGTAACCTGTTGACCTGTTGCTGGTTTTGCCTTCTATATTTATATATGTTTACATGTATATGTATAATTTTGTCTTCTACATTTATATATGTTTATATGTATAGTATATGCATATACATATATGTCTATATTTTAAATATTTGTTTTAAAACAAATAGGAAAGGCATATAACATCACATATTTACATACATACATATATACATATATGTAAATATATTTAAAATATATATTTAAACATGTATATACATGTATGTATGTAAATGTGATGTGATGTTTTTTTCCTATTTGTTTTAAAGCAAATATTTAAAAGATATACATATATGTGTATATATATACACATATATACATATAGATATAAACATATATAGACATATATATACAGTGTATATATGGGGGAAGTTTTGTTGCTTGCTCAACACACCAAATCTCTGCACAGGTCTGGATTTCAACTAGCAATCTTTTACCACTGAGCACCACTACACTGCGTTTGGACTTCACTCAGTTCATTTCCAAACAGTAATCTAATCTCTTCTCATCTCTCTCTCTCTCACCTGCTGGTCCAGGTACCTGTTTGATCCTCGGCTGCATGATCTACCCAGACGGCTGGGACAGCGATGAGGTGAAGAGAATGTGCGGCGAGCAGACGGACAAGTACACACTGGGGGCCTGCTCCGTGCGCTGGGCCTACATCCTGGCCATCATGGGCATCATGGACGCACTCATCCTCTCCTTCCTGGCCTTCGTCCTGGGCAACCGTCAGGACAGCCTGATGTCTGAGGAGCTGCTGGGAGAAAGTGAATACACACTCACAATTTTTTTTTTTACTTATTGTTTGATTTGTGAAATAAATGGTATGCATAGAGTATGGTTACATTGCTTACCATTTAACAGGATTTTAAAACCTCTCCCGTGACTTCACGTGCATTTGGTGGAGAGGACCACGGCTCCTCACGGCCAACCAGGAGGAGTCAGCTGTAGGTGTAGGAGGAAAGAGGAGAGAATACAGATGAAGGAGGGAGCAGATAATAGCAGTCGCTGACAGACAGGAAGGATGAACCAATAGCAGGAGGTTAATTGAAGCCTGGGTTTTTGCTGCACAGGGTCGTGAATTACTAATGGCTGTTTACACATGGCTCTGTCAGCGTGTCTTCATAAATCAGAGCCATGTTATCAGCCAGGAGTGTCGGCTGTAAAAGGCCATAACACTGGGGTGGAGGAGGCGGTTACCATCAGAGAGAGAGGGGGAAAGGGGGAGAGGGGAGAGGGGGGGATGGTTACATTAAAATATGAAAAAAAAATTTAAGGGGGAAAATAACTTTAATATATATATAATATACAGTATATGATATATATATATTAATATCCCTACTATGAGAGTACAACCACACAGTGGAGCAGTGGTTAGCCTGATTGCCTTACAGCAAGTAGATCACATGTTCGCTGCTTCGATCCCGGTCTTTCTACAGTATATAGAGTCTGCATGTGTTTGTAGTATTTCCCCCAGGTACTGCAGTTTTCCCCCACATTACAACAACATGCAGGATTAGGTTAACTGTTCACGCTAACGTCTGTGGTGTGAATGTGGGTGTGAACAGTTGATCGTCGCTGTATTTTAATTTTTTGACGTACTGAAAAAAAACTCTTTTCAGCTGTTTCCACGCTGCTGTTAAAACGTCTGTGGAGCTCTTGATGCAACATTGCCACCTCCTGGTCAAAGTTATTAAATGCCGCTGATCTCACTTCTTTTTTCTTCATCTTCCACAGAGAGCAGTAATAACGCCATATAAGCGCGAGGTCGCGAGAGAACAAAGATCACAAACAGGTAAGAATGTTATTGAAGAGAGTAGCGGATAAAAAGAAATAAAATAAATGAAAATTAAAACCTCGCGGGAAACTTAACGGTAAAGCAGGATATAACGAGAGAACTATGAGGAATGTTTAAGTGGAACTGTCGTATTAATTTTAATAATTGTGATCAAAGGTCAAATTATTTATTTCATGAATAACTATCAAAACCAAGTGACATACATGGTAGCTTTTTAAAATAGTGGTTCTCAAACTATGGCACGTGGAACACGTCACGCTTTCTATCAACCACAACACTTTGTTGTACATTTCCTTGTCACCTCTAGGTTTTTCTGTGGACTTGATGTGAAGGTACTTTAGCGTCCAGCTTTTCCTCTTCTGGTCCGGCCTGTTGAAGGGACACGGGGCTGATATGTGAGCAGGTCATCTAAAAAAATTAAAGGGACAAGAGATGGAGGACAAAAAAAAAAGGTCACGTAACCTTGAAGAGATGGACAGGATGACATGCTTCATTCCTGGAAACAACCTTTTCTGTAAAAAAATAAAAAAAAATAAAACAGCAACTCTTTAGAGGAAAAAACATGTAAAATAAATAAGCTTTTTTTAAATGTTGCTTTAAAACAGCATTAATTAACAAAAGGTGTTCAAACCTCTTTGTCCTCTGAGAGTGTTTTAGTCTGTTTGGAATCGAAAGAAGAAAACTCACGTGGAACGTTAGTTCCACAAACACCACCGAGGGGCAGCTCATTCACGATGAATGACAGCAGAAATAAAGAGTTCCTGTCTCACATATGGACTGAACAGACTGAGGGTAAAGCTGATCTTCCTTCTCATTCTTTCTCAAACTCCTGAAGATGTGAAGACGTTAGACTACAATGTCCTTTGACCTTTTAAAGTTTTCTGTGCAGCTCAGTGAACTGGAGAAACATCTTGAAAAAGATACATTTTGTTTTTTCAATAAATGTTTAATATATGTGATAAACCCCATAAGTAAATTTGATGTTTTGCTGGTGAACGTTTGCATATAAAGAGATATTTAAAAAAGATAAAATCGTGGAAAAGAAATGTATAAAAGACTAGAATCTGTGTTTAGTTACAGTATACGATGACCGTGTCCTTGTGCTTTGTCTTGACCTTAAATCGGATCCTCCATCAGTGTGTGCCATTGTGTACCTTGTCGTTTGAAAAGGTAACGAGGGAAGCTAACAGGAAGTGAACGTGCTACAAAGTACTCTTTGATTGGTGTTGTATTTCTTTTGTTCATTAAAAACACATTTAGAGAAAACGAACACCTTTTTTGTTTACAAGTTATTAAAAAAACAAAAACTAAGGATGCACAAAATGCTAATTATGCAATTTAAACTATTAGGCTTACTAAAAGACAATAACAGGTGGTAACACAGCGACTCCTACTGGACAAATGTATTCGAACTGTCGGTATAAAATACAGCATTTGTGATGCGTTTTACGGTTTGACAGACGGCGGGAGAAATGTGCTAACAATTCCCGTGACAACATTTGATACTTTAGCAACTTTCCACTCTCTTCACTAGCGTTTATAAACGTGTACGGCCCGCGTAAAACGTGTTTTTAAAGCTTTTATATACAACCAGACCACATACATATGATAATATATCAAATTATATGTGTAAAACACGTCAGAGTGACGTTCTATATGTGTACATACTTACATTAGCCACGTTCTCGAACTGGTGTTCTACTTGCAAAACACCTAGACTTAAAAAAAGGCAAATATTGAGCGAATACACACAAATAAATAAATATACACACATAAACATATATATACTTAAATTGATATACTTACATACTTTTAAACACGTACATATACTTACACACATGCTGTACCTATATATTGTAAATGTACCTTGTAAAGTGGATTCTTTTCCACGCTGACGCTCCCTCTTGACTGAAATAAGCAAAACCAACTGCATATATATATATATATATATATATATATATATAGTTCAAGTTCGTCAGTATGAAGATAATTGTTTTGTTTTTTTTAATCAGACCACCCTCCCCCAACAAAGTCATTCACCATGATCGTTCCACGGCACCAGATCATCCCTGCTTTAGGGCAGATCTGTCAGGGTGGAGCGCCACCTGCCAACTGATGTCATGTCTTTTTCCCTGCCCCTTTTTAAGCATTCATCAACAGTCGGGACTTGAGTGCAAATGCTAAAAAACTATTTTTGCATTTTCATTTAAACAGTGGAGTAAATATAACCAGAAACCACCAGTACCAAGGCAGTTAAGTTGTTCTGGTGCCTGGTAACAAACCTGCTCTTTTGGTCTCCTTCAACTCTTCCCGCTCTTCTCTCCTGGAGGAGGAAAAACTGTCATAGAAGTGAAGGTGGGAGACGACGACAAATGTATACCAACGACACACTGGAACAAGTGGTATAAAACTGTCATTACAGTGATTTATTATAATGAACCATGAAAAAAGCCAACCAGTGCTGTGTCTGTGAGTCTCTCTCCTCCACACAAACATACACTCACACACAAATAATAAAAAAAGACAAAGTCAAAGAGTCTCCAGAGAGAGAGAGAGAGAGAGGGAGAGAGCGAGAGAGAGAGGAAAAAATTATTAAAATAAAAACAATGCTACAGTCACAGAAACATTCAGCTTTGCCAAGAAGAGCCATTTTATATTTACATTGATGATTCAAAATGGGATGGGAGCAAATTGTACAAGCGTAGAAAAGAAGGAGAAGGAAAAAGAAAGGAAATATTTACAAACTGTTCCTGGTGAAAGCTGGAGTAACCACCTATACATTTACTTACACTTTCTACAAGTAACCATTGATATTCAAAAATAAACCGCTACCTTCCTACTTGCGCGCCACACCACTCTGCCTACTTCAGGAGACTGAGCACTCACACACACACGCACACACATTGACACGCACAGGAATATGTGCGCACGCAAGCACACACACACACACACACACACACACACACACTCTCTGAAGTGCAGTCTTCCATGTTGGTAAGCGAAGCTCCCAGTAACTGGTCTTTGTTATATCTTCAGCGGTGAACAAATATTTGTTGTTAGACAGAGGAATAAAAAAAATAATTGTGTTTTCTTTTTTTCTCTATACAAAAAGCTTCTCTTTTTCTATAATGAGCCACTAGAATAAAACAAATTAATGGTGTAAGAGAGGCGACAAAGACGAGAGAGAGAGAGAGAGAGAGAGAAAAGAGTGAAGAAGAACAAGAAGGAATAACTGACAGGAGGAGGAAGAGGGAGGCTGTGGTACAGGCTGGAATGTCAGTTGATAAGAAAGTGCGGGGCCTTACAACGGGAGTCCAAATGGGACACAGAACAGTTTTCCTCTGGTTAACAGGAAAGATATATAAAATAACTAAATGCGGCCAAAGAGTGGGGGGCTGTGAGCACCATGAGGAGAGGAGCTGTTGTTGTCCATCTTCATGTTTTTTTCAAACAGTTTCTCTTGAAGATCGTCGTCACTGTTCTTTTTTTTTTCCTTATAATTTTTTGTCCTTTTTTTCTAAAAAGTACCCTTTTATCCCACCATCAGCTGTTTTTCCACTGGCCATGTGTTCAGGTACATAGAAAATTTATCTACAGCTTATGGTACACACCCCTCTCAGGCTGAGTTCTCAGGGGCTGCTGGGGGGCCCACAGCAGGGAGAGGGCATTTGTTCAATGCCACCCTGTGCTCAGGTAACCCGAGCTGTGGAAAGGGGTCGACGACGTGGGAGCTCCACGAGTCCCAGAAGGCATCTGGGATGCGGCGGCCTGGGCCTGGCCTTGTTGAGTCTGTTGCGGAGGAGGCGGAGGAGGTGGGGGCAGTCCAGTCTGCTGGAGGGGAGGAGGTGGGTAGGTGGACTGGGGCAACGAAGGATTGGTAGCGGCACCTGGATGCATTAACGTGGGTTGAAACCCCCCCAAGTTCTGAAAGTGGAGGGGCTGCATCGCTGTGTTGGAAGATGGGGCCGGGGGAGGTGGAGGAGGCGGTGGGGGTGGGGTGAGGGACAGCAAACTGCTTCCTCCGGGAGGTTGTTGTGGTGTCTGCTGGGAGACCTGGGCCTGTGGAGGAGGAGGTGGTGGAGGCGCACTGGTCATCAAGAGCTGATGCTGCTGGATGGAAGTCGGCTGCAGGTTGACATGGAGCAGGGCCGGGTTGGACATCAGATGAGGAGGTGGGGGAGGTGGAGGCGGTGGAGCAGCTGAGCTCTGATAGTGCACGCTGTGTGGAAGAGTCTGCATCAGGGGCTGAGACCCTGGTGGGTACGGAGAAGAGACAGAACTTTTGAACCCAGGGAAAGGTCCAGCAGCTGAGGAGCTCTGGTTGGGGTAATACGCCGTGGAGACCGACGGTGCAGGTGGAGGTGGAGGAGCACCCTGTGAGTTATAGGGGGGAAAAGCAGCAGGGCCAATCTGAGGCTGAGCCTGAGGTTGGGTCTGAGGCTGCGCTGGGAACAGCGTCCTCTGACCGCGGAAGGGAGAGCCCTGCGGCTGAGGCTTGGGAGAGTGGATGATAGAAGGAGCAGGGTAGTGCACAGGGGAGGAGGGCAGTGGGGTCTGATGCAGCTTGGTGGGAGTCACAGGGGTGGGCTTGGGTCCTACAGGCTTGCTCGGGGGCGGGCCCGTGGGATTTGTCAATCTGGGCTGAGAGTCAGAGTCCTCCTCCTTTAGAGACCGACTGGGCGTTGGGTTGGAAGCACCAGGAGAGCAGGGCTGAGGACAGAACATTCAGACAAAGTAAGAACCAGCTCAGATGAATCAAACCTGTGCTGTATATTGAGAATTATACACACTGTTGTTTCTTTTACTCTTTTTTTTTTTATAATAAACTAAATATAATGGAATGTTAAGGAATGGAGATATTTCTATTTCTTTGTTGTCCATCCAGATGTGTAGGTACTTCAAAAACAGTTTCCTAATATGACATTTAAACCTCCTTAGGAAATCTTCTTTCACACACGAATGGTAAATTACTAATTATACATTCTTAACCACATTCTAATGTTTTTCCAAAAAACAGGCGTAAATAAAACTTTAAACTAACATTGTGAAAATTAAAGTAAATGGACATCACTTACTGCGTGTGTTGGTGTCCTCTGTGGACCTGGTGATGGACAGTCCCTCTGTGCAGCTGTTTCACTGCCCTCTGCCTCGCCATCTAGAGGAACACCAACGAACAACAACTGTAAGAATGATGGACATGAAACCCATCCATCTCTAAGATGAGAGCGTGAGCCTCCTTTATCTCACCTGTATCTTTATCTTTGCTGAGCAGCAGAGCTCTGTGGTAGCCGCGTTCTCTGGCCTGTTCCACAGAAGTGGACGATGTCCTGAGGTCAAACATTTACAAAAAAAAAAACAGATGTAAGGACAAGCTAATAAAATGTATTATTTGTGTGGGGTGTTGTTTTTAATGAGAACCCACCACTGTCCTTCTCCTCCCTCCCTCTCTCCTTTCTCTGCTGCTCCTTCCGCCTCCTCAGTTGTTAACGGCTCCTTTGATGTGGTGGCCAGAGTGTTGTTGCAAACCACTGGGGGAGCGGGAGGTGGGGGAGGCTCAACAGTGTTCTCCAAAACACCAGGAAATGCGTCCACGGTCAGAAGTGGTACGGTGGAGACGGGAGAGCTGCACTCTGTTTTGGAGCCACTGCGGCGAGCTTCTCGTTGTCGTTTTCTGTACTCGAGCAGAGAAACCTGTGAGGGAACAGAAACACGTCATATTTCAGACAAAAGAGCATCCTGACATCAAACCAGTAGAGGGCACTATATACACGTGCACAATCACTGAAACAAAGGGGCGTGTATACTATCAGGAAAACGTGTGTAGAGAGCAAGACAATAGCACTCCACTCTTGTAAATAAGAGGAAGCTAAACAAATATTTGTTGGTTTGAAAAAAAAAAAACATAAAAATATGTTTGTAGTGAGATTGTTTGGCCAAAAGGAAATGGGATCAATAGTTGTGGCGTACATATTTGAGACAAGTTTAGTCAAATAGTGTCGTGACCCCAGTGTGAGAAGTGTGTCTTTAGTTCAGAGTGTCTTAGAGGAACATTTAGTCAGTTCAAATCACATTTCATTACCAGCACTCAGTGAAGTGACCACATAAGAAAGTTTGGGGAAGTTTGTTGGGTGGAAAGTCATGGCCATGTGATTGTTTGCAAATATCGTTCTTATCACTACAGCATCAGCCCAATGTAAAACATGTTCATGTTGACTGGAACGTTTCAGCTCAGTGTGTGGATCATCTGTTAAGATTAATGGTTTAATTTAATTTACTGCACTCTTTACTGTGATAATACGTGAATAGCAAGTACAACACATATTTCTAGCCAAAGATGAAACTTTGTAATTTGAACCCAATAGAGAAAAGAAATCAAAGGTCAGTGAAATGGTAATTAATTTCTTGAAACTGCTGCACAACCCAAGTATAAAATACAGTTATAGATTATAAGAGTAAATATTAGAATGAAATACAATGTATATAAAACCACAGACTGTATATGGTAGATGCAGCTAAAACAGATTCTGACTTTTTTTTCAAAAGTGTACCTTTTTCTTTTGTGGTGGATTCTGTGCTGATCCTCCCACTTCACCGGTTCCATCCCCATTCAGTGTGCGGGAGAATCCTAAGGAGCCCCCCTCCTCAGAGCAGGGATAGAAGAGCTGCCCCTGGCCTTCACTGAAAGGGGTTTGAGGTCCAACCAATGGTCCTGTCCCTGCTGTGGACACCGCTGCAGTCCCAGCTGCAGCCTCGGGCCGGAAGGGAGCTGCCAGAGGCTCCAGGGTGTGCGAGGGGGTGAGGTCCCTTAAGTTTGAGTTGACTGGGGAGAAGTTCAGTCCAGCTGTTCCAGTCGGGCCTCTTTCTGGACTTTTAATCCAACCAGGAAAAGAGGGGGCACAAGTCTCTAAAGACGAGGACGTCTCGCCGTTGCCCTCAATACCTGTACTATCTATCCTCTCCTCTGCAAAGTCCACGGGGTCTGCTGCTGGGGGCTGAGGACTGTCTGGAACAGACAGAACAGACACCTTGGCTTCCGTCTGGACAACTTCAGAGCTGCTGGCTCTGACGCACGGAGAGGAGACTAACGAAGGGGGATGATCAGCCTTGGGAAGAAGAGAAGAAATAAGAGATGTTCATCATGTTCATGTTGTTGATAAATGAACTTTAGTTTGTGCAGATAATCATAAACTATTGCTGATGAACATTCACCTCTTGCACGCTTGGTTTCCGGGTGACCTCCGGTGAATTTTCTACTGAAGATTCACTCTGTAAAATCAACCAGACTTTTAGTGCATCAGTTAATTTCTCATACATTAAGAAAATCAAAACCACAGCCTCACCTCCAGGGGAGCACTAAGTGTCGGCGTTGGGGTGCTGGGCAGGGGCTCTGGATTGAGCTCTTCAGTACGGGGGCGTGGTGGAGTAGTCAGTAAGACGGGTGTTACGGGAGTCTCTGAAGGGTCTGACCTGGTGGGTGTGGCACATGGTGAGCCGTAAGGTGTGGAGCCCTCGGACATACAGGCATCCAACGGGCTGAGCCGCCGTTTCTTCAGAGGGGTGGGCAGCTCTGAAAAAATAGAAGCAATAAAGAACAGTTTTTAATTTGTCTTTTTTTATTAGAAAAATTCAATCAAGTGACTAACAAGTGCATGTTTCTTTAGGGAAGGTTAGAAGACACCTGGAGAGTCACTTCAATGACTACAGTTGATGCTGTTTAAGGTTCATAAAGAAAAACTATAAGTTGTCACGAGCACTGGATAGTTTTACCTGGTAACAAACAAGTGCCATTATAGGGTAGAGGACTGTCAGAGTCTCCGTTAATGGCGGGGCTGAGTGGGCCTTCACTGGGCATACAGAAGCTGGGACGCCTGGCAGGACTGGGGGAGCCCTCCTCTTCTAGAGCCTGCTTTAACCACCGCTGTGGGACAGAGAGAGAGATGAATCAACATTCTGACATGACATCGGGCATTATGTACATGATGATATCAGTGGAGATAATTTGTCAATTAGTGGCGCTTTGGCCCAGAGGCAATGTCTCTGTCATTGGTGTGGAACCCCAGGGTTCACCTCCTGGACAAGTTCGAATCCCGGTTAGGGCGGTTAATACCTTCCAGTGGACTCACCACCCGCAGGAAGGTTTGGGGGGTTGGTATGGTGCAATGTGATTTGGGTGGCGACTGCTGTCCCCGCGACCCGGTAACGGATAAGCGGATGAAAATGGATGGATGGATGGATAATTTGTCAATTATGAATTTTAAAATCCACAGATTTTTTTTAAAAGTGGAAGGCTTCTAAAGCAGGCAGTCGTACCTTTTTGCAGGAGCCCGTCGTTGGAAGCGTCTCTGGCAGTTCCCTAGATCTCCGTCTCCCTGTGGGAACTCCCGGAGTGGTGGGGCTGCGGTTAGCCAGAAATGGGGACGAGAAGCGAACGTAGTGTTTGGGCGTGCTGTACACCTGCGGTGAGCAGGTCATGCCTGGAAGAGCATTGAGCTGTGTAGCCAACACTTCAGGGTCACTGCTTATTCTCAGGGGTCTCTCTGGGACTGGCTCAGGAGTTCGCACGGCACCACGGTCCTGCTGCTTCTCTCCCACCCATTCGCTGACAAAGTGCTGTGAAACAAAGCTCAAGACTCAGCTAATCATCCAGTACAAACAATTTCTATTAATAATGTGAAAAAGAAAGTAGCAAAGCACCTTTTTTGTTTTGAAGCTCTTGCTTCCGGTGCGGTTTCTGTCAGGTGCTGGTGAGCTGCTGTGGGGTGGACTGGTATCTGGTGCTTGGGCAGCGACAGCTTCGGGCTCTGGTGCAGTGGGCGTTTCTCCTTCAGGAGGATCGTTGGTCAAGGGCTCCACTGACTCCACAGGAGAGCCTGGTGGCAGGTCAGAACAGGTGCTGATGGTGCGAGCTCGTCGACGCTGTTGGCCAATGTGCGTGCGGTTCCGTGAGAAACTCTTCCTGTTTCTGGATCCTTTGACCTTCGCAGGCTTTATTCCTGGCTCCTCCTTGATCTCCAGAAGTGGCTGCAAAAGACAGTTCAATGTTACTACACGCCCCTTATGTTTACATGTCACTTGTTATACAGGTGATTTGGCATTCTTACAACTGGGTTTTTGTGTCTTCTCTCGGCTCTTACCTGTGCGACAGTTGGGGAATCTGCCGTCTCAGGTGTGACTGGAGGCTCTTCCTTGATGTCACTTCGGCCTCCGACCTCCGACTTGACACTGCCGATTCTCTCCAGGGCTTGCTCCCGTCTTTTTTCTCTCTTCTCCATGCGAGCAAAAGCTTGCAGAATGGCCTCCATCTTTCTTTCTTCTCGTGTCTACAAATGTAAAAGGGGTGGGGGTTGACAGAGCAGGGAGCAGGAGAATGAGTCCATGGATCTTCAATTATAACCATGGAATGAAAGAGGTGGAAAATTGTGTTGCAGAGATATAGCCTTTCCAGAGCAGAGTAGCAGTGAGGATTTAGGAAAAACCTTTGCAAAAACAAAAAATATATATATATAAAATAAAAGTCAACAGGCAAATGATATAACGATGCATAACAGGTAACAGAAACAACCAGAAATGTGTGCTTTCTGTTTGTGGCTGAAAAGAAATTACGAGCAGTAGTTAAAGCATTGGGACAACTGCACACATAGTACTTTTCTAGTCCTGATGACCTCTCAAAATGCTTTAAACTGTAGATTTGTCCATATGCATACTGACAGCATGTAACAGTGCAACCCTGGAATCGAACACACAACCCTTTGGATGTAAGACAACTGCACTACCTACTGCCTCATTTTGAGCTAGAACACAAAGTTGATATGGGTCAGGCTTTGGGTCAGTAAATAACCTGCTTCGGGTAAAAATGTGACATCCTTCTCACAGCGATAGTAATGCAGAGATGACAACATCTGAGTTATTTGATTTTGCCAAAATGGGGAAAAATATTCTTATTATCATTATTTAAGTTGAAAATCTATGACATTTTTTAAAGCAAGTGCGTAAAAATGTCTCAAAAAACTAAACTAAAACCATTTGGTTTCTGGGACTCAACAAATCCAATTCTCTTCTCATACCAACTGAACATATATCTTCACATGTTATTTATGTCACACCTGCCAAAGCCGTTGGTGTATAATTACTTAAAAAAGTCTTCAGCTTCATTTGCCCTGGAGGGACATATATGTCTCACTGACAGTTACCACACAAAACATTACTCAGCACAAATACAACATGCCACCAGGAAGAAAAAGTGCACCCTTGCACTGACAAATGTGCAATCAGATAAGCAACAGACTAAAAGCCAAAAGGCACATCGGTGCATGTAGGAAACCATCACACGCTGATGTCATCTCCCCGACACCTTACAACATGTATTAACAACGTCCTTTAGCATTTCCTATAGCTGTGACAGTTAATGTGAAAATGCATGTCTCTGCTGTAGCAGCCAGAACTCTCCTGGGCCGCATCCCATATAAAAATAGACCTCCAGATCTCCCCAAAGTCAATACGGCCCTGGCAACAAGGCTCTAACCTCTGCAGTCCTTCTCCTTAACTGTGCATCCTTAACTGGCCATTAGCAGAGCTGTGTGATCGCCAATGATGAGTCAGCACTTTACACTGGGGTTCCAGCCTATGAAATGGAAAGGACTGTAGGGTCATTTCTAGTGTGTGTGTTTGTGTGTGTGTGTGTGTCACTGACTGAAACTGCTCTGTAGGCTTTTCTTACACCACTTGTTTTATGTAAGGAACAGGGTTCATTTTAAAAGTCATTTTGGATTTAGTCTTAGTCTTTTTGACTAAATTGTAACTCAGTCTTTGTCTCCAAATGAGGTACATAGGTTTACTAAAAAAAAGTAAAATATTTTCATGTTTAAAAAAATCCTTAATAAAATATTAAACCAAGTCGATGAAATTAACACTGGACTGTAAACTCTTTGGCAGGGGCTGGTTTTGTTAGCCGGTGTGTCACCCCAGAGGCCAATTAATTTCTTTCTGATTTAAATGAAAATGTGAGTAATAAATGTCAGTGTCAATTGATGCACAAGCACAAAGCCTTAGTTCTGGGGAAGGAATAGCAAAATTGAGAGGAAAAAATAAACAACAGGACAAAAAGCATCAGTGGCAAATACAATGACATGAGTGCAAGCAGCAGAAGAGGGTAGGGGTGAAAAAGAGAGGCAACAAGGCAGTTGCTCCTATTTAAGCTACAGCCCCTAAAGCAGACGAGATGTTGAGTTCACGCTGACAGCAACAGGGGGAAAATTTGATTTTTGCCCTTTTCTGCTTAGAAGCTGCATGGCAAAACAAAAGCTTCAGCCCCTAGCTTGGCAGACTTACCATCTTCCTCCTCCTGTCTGCAATCTGCTCCTCTGACTCCATCTCTACTTCATTGCTAACGGAGGTTTTGTCTTCTAGATCCTCATATAACTCAGGATCCTGTAAGAGGAGGGAAGAGGTGGCATGGCGCTTATCATTCAGTCTGACTACAGACTATAGGGGTAACAGGTAAGAGTGGATGTGAGTGTAAGTCAGGGACAGAGGGGAGCAACCTGAAAAAGTTACAATGGGTGGTAGGCAGTGGTCTGCCTTTGTAGTAAACACCACTAAACCTCTCTTTTTGAACAACAGGGTCGTCTCTCTGACTGAAACATTCTCTTCTTTTTGCTCATTACAGTTGTGATCAGAAAACAACACCAAGAAATAGGACTTCTCCAAAGGGAGTTAAAATAGCAGCTCTACTCAGTCTACTTTTACCCATCTGAATGTAAAAATGTGAAATATGTATTTTAATCAATAGCATAACTACAACAGAATGAACTTACTCCTCAAAAGAAACAACTGAGAGGGGTGATGGGAGAAGGAGGGAACTCAAGAGGACATACAGTTATTAAGAGTGGCAAAATGGTAAACACATGCACCGACCATTTCACATAGAAGAAAAACCAAACAAATACATGCAGTGACCGTACCGGTTCATGTACTTCATGTACTATCAAGAAACAAAGTCTTTTTTTTACAAGCAATCAAAAAGTTTTGGTCAAGGTGCTTCTGGTATGAGGATCATAAAGAAACAGAACCTACCTGGTTGTTGGAGATGGAGAGACGGAGAGGAGAAAGCTTTCTCTGTTTCCCATCGCCAACGCCCTTGCTCTTCCCCTCGCCTTCCAAAACTATGTTCTGGTTCTGGCCCTCTTCACGGGTTACATCCTTTTCCTTGCGGCTGCCCCGCCGCCGGCTTACAATGACGAGGTTCTCCGTGGGCTCCTGGTT